TACTAAACCAAGGAAGAGACTAAGGCTCAGTATAACTGTGACCATTAAGGATTCTGTCTTCTACTCTTTACAAATTCTCTCTTCCGCTTTCTCTTTTAATTTTAAATAGGCTTGCTGAGCTACCATGCAGACAAATCTCAGCACAGAGCTGGGAAGGAAAGGGGAGGGGGGTAGGGATGGAGCTAGGAGCAGGTCTCTGCTAGCAGAGCCTGCAGAGAGAGTGGGGACTCAAGAGTCAGCCTCAGAATAGCAGCTGTGAGCAGACAGGGGCCCACTGGTCCAGGAAAGAGTAAGGCCCCCATGATGAACTGGAGGCTAGGCAAAGAGGCAGCCTACCAGGCTCTAGGTAGTGAGCTGGCCTTGCTGGCTAAAGGACCCACACATCCTGGGTCCAGAACCATAATGCAGGCAGGCTGATCTCAAATGTGAAAACCAGAAGTTCTTTGCGTGGAAAGTGAGGGCTCAGCCAGCAAGCCTGGCAACACCGGAGAGGCAGTTACAGCTATAGGTCCTGTGTAGTGAGCACTTAGCATGGGCCATGTACCGTGCCAACGGCTTTAGGTGTCATGGTTGCCCTACTGAGCTAGCCTTAGAGGCTCCCTTTCTCTTTCTTCTGAGTCTTGGTCGAATCTCCCTTCCTCATCCCCTCTGAAGCAAGCCTTGGCCATGAAACTTTCTTTGGCCAAGAAACAGGAGTCAAAAATGTACCACTTCTGGGTGGAAGCACTGAGCGACATTACGTGATTCACCAGCTTCCCTTTTCGCTTACTGGACAATCATGATATCGAGATGGAGCCTCCTCCATCAGGCCAGGTGAAGAAGGTGAGAAAAATTCCCAGCTACTACAAACTGAGTGTTTGTGTTCCCCCAATTCATATGCTGACACCTAATCCCCAGTGTGCTGGCACCTGGGGATGGGGCTTCTGGGAGGAGATAGGGTCCCAAAGCTGGAGCCCTCATGGATGGGACAGTGCCTTTATGACAGTCTCCAGAGAGCTCCGTCACCCCTTCCACCACAGGAGGACTCGACAAAAAGAAGACTGTCTATAAACCAGGAAGCAGACTGTCAGCAGATGCCAAATACGTCCTCGCCTTGATCTTGGACTTGCCAGCCTCCGGAACGGTAAGAAATAAATGTTCGTTGTGTATAAGCCACCCAGTCTATGGTATCCTGTTATAACAACCCAAACGGACAAAGACATCTGCCAACCTACGCCGATGAAAAGCATGAAGGAACATATACTTTTACAATGTTGAGCCCCTGACATTAGGGGCTGTGTGCCACTGCAGTATAGACATGAACTGTCTCCTTAAACCTGTGCCTCCTTTCTGGAGGACTGTGAATGCACATTCTGGTAACAGCGACGTCTTTGCCTAATATGACATAGTTAACAAGAGACAGAGTGAGATTCTGAACCCAGGTCTGTCTAACCAGAGCCCCACCTTTAACCACACCCCAGCCAAAGCTAATTGAATAGGCACGAGATAAAATAAGGCATCCCCGCCTCCATAAATGTATCAGGAAACTTCACACACACACACACACACGCACCAACACACACACACACACACACACACACACAAACACACAAACTGGCACAAAACCTGGCAACTAAGCAGAGTAGCCTCTGCAACTCTCTCGCTTTGTAAAAAATAAAAAAGAAAACAAAACAAAGAAAGAAAAGAGAAAAGAAAAAGGAGAGAAGTTCAAAGAGGGTATATACCACCAAAGGACACCAGCCTAATGTTTCACTGTCCTCTGAACAGTCAAACCAAATTAAAGAGTGACTCAAAGTGACCCAGGCCCAGGAAGGGCCAACAGGGCAGGGATGGGCTGAGGGGCTGAGGAAGTGGCCCCCTGCTTCCCCTGCTTTGCTAGACCATATCCTTCCCTTTCCATCATATCCAAAGTGAACATAGGATCCCACAGAGAACGGACTCCCACCACTTCCCTAATGTAAGGCTTCTAAAGCCACAGGCACTATGGTGCAGAACAGACAGCAAAATGATTCAAGCACGAAGAGCACTGTTTGTAGCTAACAGGACACTACACATGGCCAGCAATTTTACTTTTACCTAAAATTTCCAAGTGAAGTTTAATGTCCAGAATTCACGGTACAAACACGACTTCCTTATAGCTTTTAATCATGACTTAAGAATGGGAAGATTCCCTCACATACATTTATTTCTCACTGGGTGGGTGTTCATCTTAAGTACCAAGCAACCAATGACAGTATGAAATTACATATGGGTTGAAAGTATTCCAATCCTCCACCAATTCAAGTCACTTTTCTCATTTCCAACCAGGGATCAGTCCTGTCGCCTTTAAACTAGACAAGGAAACGTGTCCTCGTTTTCAGCAAAGTGGGTAAAAATATATTCTTTAGCTGTCACTTTACATTGTGTTATTGACTTTCAGATTAAGCAATGCCTCTGAAGTCCCGACTGAGTCCACACACACGCAGTTCATTTCAGGGAATTCCATTACTGCGATGACTAAATACGTGTGTCATCTGAAGCCATAACTTATTTATGCCCTCAACACTAGGTTGGCTCTTAAAGCATCAGCAAAATAACAGTAGGCTGTTTTCATGCAATGATCTCCATAATAATTATTAATTCATTTTTAACATAATAAAAATAATGATCATCCATTTGAGTAGGCAGACCAAAGGGTGTTTTTTTAACTATCATACATCACCTGTGAACTTTGTATGACACATTCATCCTAATCTCTGCAGTATCTAAATCCAAAGGTGCCACGTGTGTTCAGAATGTTATCTATAATAGTCAACATTACATTTTCATGCTTTGTGTGGCAATAATATACATTACATCCGTTATGGGTTTTTACATATCCAATAGCTAATTAGAAATTAACACCAAACTACCTGAAATATCATAATGTACACAACACGATATATATTATAAACTCCCAGGGTTTGAATTCAAATAAAATTTACATTTTTATAATTTAATTTTTCAAAGCACTTTCATAAATATTATTTCACTTAAAACATTTGTAGATGTTTCAAAGGAGCAAAAGTATATCGCAAAATATTTCCTTTGGAGCAAAGCCCCTTTTTTAATTGAAAGCAAGTATCAAGAAAAACAGAGTATGTCTCATGAAACGCATTTGAGAAAGCAAACAAAAATGCTATGTTGATTTAAATGAACGAGATGAATGATTTTCTTTTTTTTTTTTTAATGAACGCAATGCTCTCTCTTGGAGCACCTGAGAGAAGAAAGTATAGATCTGCAAATGCTTCCAAACAACCAGACCCCCATTTCCTTGGTCTCTAACTCTGGGAAGGGGCTGAGCATCCTATACTTGCCCAGAAAGGTGAGGCTGCCACGGCCCACCTGGTATGACTCATACTTTTAATGAAAACCTAAAAGTGAGAAACCTTTTAAATATAACACATACAGTGTCTGTGACTCAAGAAGACACACTCATAGAAGACTGCACTATTGATTTTCAGAAAGAGAATAAAGGCAATAGATCAGCTAAAAGCACAAGCTGCGAATGAACACACATTGCGAGGGAAACTGAAATGAATATACCGTCTACCACCATTCCTAGGCTAGACCATTCTCCCTGGTACTAAAACATCCGATAACAACATCAACAACCAAATAAGAGGAAGATGCTATGTGCTCCCCCTAAGCCTGGAGCTTGCCTTTTGAAGTGGATACAACTGCCTGACAACCAACTTGCCATCCTGGAAGTCTCCTTTCAGTTACTTCCATGGTCTTAAGGATGAGGCATCCTTTTGATACTAAGGAATTGGTTCTCTACACACAAGACAGAGGACAGCCGGTTCTCCAACTCAAAGCTTTGAATTCGAGCTTTCAGTGACTCAATCGGGCCCTCAAAGAAAAGGCAGAGACCTTCCTTTCAGTGTTAGACAAATGCCTCGTTTGCAGGCTCCCTCCTGGAAAGCTTGCTGTCACTGCAAAGGCCAAGGGAAGAGAAGCGCACTTGGGGGCCAGATGGGACTCGGGTCTATGCGGAGGTAGCAGACGTTTGTGAGTTCCAAAGTTCTCCTTGTCTATCGCAATTGGCGTGGTGACCCAAATACAAGAGAACCTCCACATTCCATGAACAGACTCAATTTAGATTACGCAGCTCCGCGGGAAGAAATAGCATTCTCTCCGTGGCAGGCTGTGCTGCACTCTAGATTACTCTCTTAGTTTCATTTTACCATTTGGTTTAAGGAGATGCTGATGGGTCAGGTTTGGAACTGTGGATTCACTAAATGCCTTTTGGGAGGGCCTCTTTCTTTCCGGAATGGTGAGCCTTAAGGGCTCAGCCTCCGATTCCAGAACGCCTGGCGGGAACCTCGCACTCTTGGAGTGGGGTTCACCGCCCGTCGGCTCCCACCCTCCAGAGTGGCGGGTTTCTGGAGCTGGGCGCTCTGCTCTTTCTTTCGTCTCTCCCCTTGCAACGCGCAAATCTGTCCCCAGTTGGGCTCAGAAGAAACGATCGCCGACTGCTCGTCCCAGAGGACACCCTGCAGAAAACTCTGCTTGTGCGCGGGCCCAGGCTGGGTCACCCGCGGCGACAACTTTACGGATTCTTTAATTTGTTTCTGGACAGTGTAAAACAGCCCCAAAGACCCGGGCGGACGCCCCCTCAGAAGCCCACTACCGCGCACCGCCGGGTTCTCGGGACCGCGCTGGTGGCAGTTGCACTTCTTGCTCACCGCGCACCCCAAGAACACGGTGCGAATGAACCCTACAGCAGGAAGCCTGTGGGGAGGTCGGGGTGTGCGGGGGCCTGGCGATCCTGGGAAAAGAACCTCCTCCCTCCAAAACCCACGGTCATTACGGCAAGAAAGTGCACGAGAAGCCCCGGGTCGGACGGAGGACGCGGACGCCCTGCCTCCGAGTCGGGCCGCCCGCCGAGGTCCCCGCGCGCTCCCGGGCCGCCGCCGCGGTAGGTGGGTGTGTGTGTAGCAGGTGCGGGGCCGAGGCCCGAGGGAGCGAGGCGCCCTTACGTGCTCCAGCTTGTCTTTCCTCCGGAGCCAGACGCTGGCGCTGTAGTCCTGCTGCTTGACGCTGCTGTAGAAGTTCGCGCCCACTCGGGTCAGGCTCGGCGAGGGCTCTTTGGGGCGGCTCTTGAGCCTCATCTGCTCGAAGCCCTCGTGGGGGGAGGCCGAGAGCCACTCGTGCTGCCGGATCTCCATCCTGACATGACCAGACGGCGGCCGGGCGCAGCGGACTCGGGCTGGGCGCGCGGAGCCGGCACCGAGCGCGAGCGG